GTACATTCTGAGTGTCCATGGAATGTCTGACTCAGCCTCCAGATTTCCCCAGTCCTCTTTGCCATGTTTCTTCAGGAGGGAAGGTGGCCTTTGAGAGGGATGAAGCTCTCGCCTCTGCCTTGAATCCAGACTTCTCCCCAAAGGGGTCCACCTTTGCTGTCTTCTCTTTCTCACCCCCCATTCACTCTTCAGCCCACTACAATCTGGCTTCCACTCCCACAACACCACTGAAATTCCCTCTTCCATGGTTACCAGTGACCCCCTGAAGAGTGGGATCCAACAGACCTAAGGTCCATCCCTTCCACTGGTGTTAAGCTGTCAAGCAGCACCCATCCTCATGTAATTCTCTACCCGGAGGTAGTGCCTGCAGAACTCTTTACAATGGAGATTCCCGGGCCCCATGGCATCAGAACGGTGAGGGGCAAGAATCTTTTTCACAAGCACTCCTGGTCCACACTCATATACTTTAGAATTACTGCTTATCCTAGCACTGGAGCATCTCATTCCCTGGGGTCTCCTCAAACTTCTCCCTTTCTGGTTCCTTCTTTCTTTGCTCTCTATGCCCACCTTGACCTTCTTTTCTTCTCACCAATGGTCTAAAATTTCTTCCTATCTAGGTCACTTTCTCATCAGCAAGAGTTTCCCTTGGTTACACTTCCTAGGAATTGAAGGAATTAAAGGTTGGGTATGTACTTTGGAAAAGCCCCTCTGGTGATTCCAAACACTGTCCCAGGGGTTGTGCCACGCCACACATGCTCTGCTGCCAAGTGCTGTCTTAGGCACTGTCCTTTGGGGATCTCATCCACTCCCGTGGTTCCATTGTCAATGTTCTAGATTCTGGTGGATCCCGTTTTATCTCTCCAGATTAGGCCTCTCACTGGAGCTCCACCCCGAAATATTCCACTGTCCGCTCCCCATCTCCACTAAAATGTCCCACTAACCCTTCAAACTCAATGTGTCCCAAACTGAATTGACCATCTCTCTTCAAAACCTGCTCTCTCTGCATTCCCCATCTCAGCAAATGGCACCGACCCCCTCCCAGTCGCCTCCATCAGAAAACAGGACGTCTTGTCTTTCATACTCCCCTACCATCGCCTACCTCAAGTCCGTCACAAGCCTGCCAATTCTGACTCCTAACTTACGTCCTGATCACAGCCCCTCCGGGCCATCTTCACGGCCCTCTCCACGTGCCCAGACCGCGATCCCGTCTGTATCACTGCAACGACCTCCTGACACGACTGCCTGACTGCAGCCTTGCTCTTCTCTCATCCATTGTCTGCACCACAGTTGGCGTGATGTTCCTAAAACCCAGATGTCACCACTGCATTCCTCCTCTCTTCAACAGCATCCCTCTTCACAGTTTCCTGTCACCTACCAGGAGACATCCAGAGGCCATGACCTGGCATTTTGAGCCCCCAAACATGGTGTGGCCCATGGGCTCCTCCATCTCTTCCTTGCTGCCCCTTCCCTTGCGCTTCCTGTCCCAGCCACACCAACTCTTGTGGTCTCTCCACACACTCCACGCTGTTTCTCACCTCCGTGTCTTTGCCCATGTACCCTCACTGCCCACATTCTACTTCTGCCCTTCCTTCCCTTGGCTGCATGAGCCCATACACCTTTGGTCTAAGCTTGTACGCACTGGGATTCCATCACCTGCAGCCCAAGAGTTCTTTGTGCTCCCGTCTCATCTGGTGCATGTTCCTGGCACTGCTCTTCTCCACTGTTTTGTACTTGAGTTTAATTTTTCCACTTCCCCTGTGAGGTCCTCGAGCACAAGGACATATTCCTGTTCATCTCTACATCCCTGTGTTCCACACCAGGTCTGGCAGAGAGTAAGTTTTTAGTAAATGTTTCATGAATGAATGTATGAGTGAATGAATGAGGTGGATAGGATCCTACCCTACTTCTTTAGACTCAGCTCTTGACAGTCTACAAGATTCAGCCTGCATTCCAGCTACACCCTTTTATGTACTGTTTCTGCTGTTTAAAATGGCTAATGGTCAGTTAGCAATTGGTTCAGCTGCATGTTGCAGAGATTGGGAAAACAGTGATTTAAAACAAGATAAATTTATTATTTTACAGTTCTGGAGTCTGACTGTAGTCACTGGGCTAAAATCAAGGTGTCCCCAGGGTTGTGGTCCTTCCTGAGGCTCTAGACTGTTTCCTTCCCTTTTCCAGTGTCTAGGGATCCAGAGACTTCCTGTCCCTCTGACACTGACTCTTCAGCCTCCCTCTTTTACATCTAAGAATCCTTGCGATTCTATCGGGTCCATCCAGATAAACCAGGTTAATCTCCTTGTCTCATGATCATCTGATTAGCAACCTTAATTCCATCGGCAACCTTATTTCCCTTTGGCATGTGATGCAACATTCCCAGGTTCTGGGGACCAGGATGTAGACATCTTTGGGGGGGCCATTATTCTACTTACTATTGTCAGTTTGGGGACTTTTTCATGCAAAATTGAGAAGAATGTCTGTTCTGTGGCTACTCTCTTAGGTCAACTTCATTTTTTTCAAATTTTCTTTATTCATACTGAAGTTTTTGTCTGCTAGCCTTCTAAGTTATTGAGAGAGGTGTGTTAAAATGTCCCACTGCAACTGAGGATGTTAGTTTTTCCTTTTGGTTCAATTTTTACTTTATATTTTATGAAGCTGGGTTCACACATGCATTTAAATTTGTGATTTTTATATCTTCCTGAGATACTGACTCTATCATCATGAAATGTCCCTTTCATCTCTAGCAGTGCTTCTCATCTTTAAGTCTACTTTTGACTAAGTATTGCTACGCCAACTTTCTTTGATTTAGTGTTTGCATGATACATACTTTTAATTTCAACCTTTCTGTATAATTATTTTAAAATCTGCTTGACAGTACTAATATTTTATTGGAATCTTTACCTTTTAATATATTTAATTACTGACTCTCATCAAATTTAGTTTTAAATCAATCGACTTACTATCTGATTTTTAATATCTCACTCTTACTACATTTCTTTTTCTTTACTTTCTTGACCTTCTTTTGAATTGTTTTTATTACTCTATTTGTTGTCCTGTAGTAACTTGTTAGTTATGTGTTCTTTACAATCCTTTTAGTGACTACCCTAGAAAAATATAATATTGATCCTAGGCTTATTGAAGTCTAGTGTAAAATTAATAAATTTACTACTTCCAGGACAATGCAAGGACATTAGAACATTTTAGTTGCATTTACCTCTTCCTACCATTTATTCTGTTGCTGTCAGGAATTTTAAACCTCATGAGACATAATTGTTATTATTTTTTAAGTCAACAGTAACTTTGATCCACATATTTACTCTTTCCGATGTTCTTCACTGGAATTTCCAGGTTTCCTTTCAAGGTTGTTTTTCCTCCCCATGAAGAATTTCCTTTAGCCTATCTTTTAGAGAAGTTCTGTTGGTAACAAAAACCGTTGGTGATGAATACTGTACTCTCTTTGTCTGAAATCATCTTTATTTCATGCTCATTTTTGAACAGTTCTCAATGAAGACAGAATACTAGGATGACAGTTATTTCCTTTCAGCACTTTGAAGATGTCATTTTTTAATCTTCCTTTTTCCATACTTTCTATTGATAAGTCAGCTGTCATTCTGATCATTGCTCCTTGGAAGGTAATGGATCTTTTACCCCCCTGGGACTTTTAATCATTTTTTTCTCTTTGTTTTTGATTTTGCAGCTATTTCACTACCAAAATCCTAGTTGTGGTTTTCTCTGCATTTGGCATACTTGGAGTTCCCTGAAATTCTTGAATCTGTGGCTGAATGTTTTTCAACAGTTTTTGGAAAATGCTGACATTATCTATGCAAATATTATTTCTGCCCTATTTACTCTCTCCACTTCTGGGACTTCTTACAGGTTAGGCCTTTCCACTATGTCCCATATTAATCATACGCTTTTTTCCCCTTGTGCTTTCTCTTCTTTTCCCTCAATATTTATTCTGGAGAATTTTTTTGAGATCTTTAATGAGTTCACAATTCCTTCTTCAGCTGTATCTGACCTGCTGGCTAGACTTGTTTATTGAGTTGGTAAGTTCAGCTAATGTATTTTTGAGTTCTAGAATTTTCATTTAATTATTTTTTATAGTTTTTAGTTCTCTGTAGAAATTCTGTTTGTCATCTAAATTCTTAAATACATTAACCATAGTTGTTTTCAAGTCTATATCTTATAACCCCACAACATGGATCTCCTATACAGATCTTTTTAAAGTTAGACTTTTAATTCTTAGATAATTATAGATTCACATTCAGTTCTAAGAAATAATACAGAAAGGTCCTATATGTCCTTTGTCTAGTTACCTCTGGTGGTAGCATCCTAACAACCTGCACAACTTTAGTACAATATCATAACCAGATATTAACTCTGACACAATTTATTCGGGTTTCCCCAGTTTTACTTGTGTGTATGTGTGTGTCTAGTTCCATACAATTCTATCATATGTGTATATCTATTGGCTTAAATAAATTTCCCTCTTGATTTTCAGTCATTCAGTTTTGTCTGCAGATATGCCTGATAATTTCTTATGGATGCCAAACCTTGTGTAACAAAAGTATCATGTAAATTTGGATGATGTTGTTATCATGTTCCTCCAGAGACAATTACTTTTGCTTTTGACAAAATGTTGGTGAAGGAGCAGATATCTTAATTCAATCAATTAATGAGAGGATTGGAAGCTGGAATTCAGTCTTTGGAGAGCTAGAACATTTCCAGTTTACCCTACTCCACGAGTATTCTGTTGGAGTACTTCCTGGTACTGCTCCCTTTGGGATTCCACTGAAAGTCTGGGTCATTTACCTCGAGCCCCTTATCCTGAACTCCAGATTTTAGCTGGAATCTCTATTTCTATTTTTTCATGCATTTTATTGAACGTATCAACCAGCTGCTTAGCTATTGCTCTCTGCTCAACTGAGACATTTGTCATAGGTAGACAGGGACCTCAAGAGAAAACTGTAGTCCCAGAGTCAGGCTCACCTTTCTGAACTTCTCTAGGGGGTCTTTGTTGCCTAACTGTCCCCTGTCTTGATGCCCCTCTGATGCCCTCCGTGGACATTTTAAATGTGGTGTCTGTTTTTTATGGGTTTTCTTGGTGGGAGAGTTGGTCTTCAGCAGAAATCTCCTACATCAGCCTCAGCCTTTGTTTCTTTTTTAAATGTATTTCTTTGTTTTTTAATTGAAGTATAGTTGATATACTATCTTATATTAGTTTCTCAGCATTTGTTTCTCAAACCAGCATTTTGACATCCCCGAGGGGGCTAAGGGAAATCTGACTACATAGTGCAGCATTTCTTTGCTTGTTCTGGAGTCGAGCTGGATTAAGATCCCAGTGGTGCCACTTCCCAGCCATGTGACTTTGGACAAGTGACTTCATTTTTCTGCGCCCGATTTCTCATAGTCCTTCTTTCCAGGATTAAATAAGCTGATATATGTCAAGTGATCTGTGCAATGAATGTCTGGCACACAGTATTCGCTCACTATATATCAGTTATTAGTATTCAGCAAATATATATTATGCCCCGCTCTGTGCCAGGTTCTGGATATTATACAGTGTTGAAAAAGACAAATATGGTCCCTTCTGTCATGGAGCTGACACTGGGTGAGCCACAGATAAAAGTAAGTAAACGAGCTCATTATCAAAGAGAGGTACATGCTAGGAAAGGAGTTAGGATGGTAGAGCAGGTGCCCCTGACAGGCTTGGGTCCAGGACAGTTCTGGGGTATGGAGAGGACATGGTGGGTAGGCAGCTACTCAAGACTGGAGGGTCAGCAAAACCTTTGAGGGTGGAAAGCTGTAACTGTTTTGAGGAGAGAGGATCTGATTTTTAGCTATTTTGGTGAGCAAACGCTCACACAAGGCAAGTATTCTAAGATCTCGGCGTGGGGAGAAACACCCCTTGGAGATCTCCAGCCATGAATTTAAAGTGATAATCAACACACATCAGAGTCCTGCGCTTTTCTGCATCAGCATTCAGCTGTACAGGTGCTGGCATGAAGCAGGTGGCTGGTGAGATTTAACCAGGTCTGGACATTGCCAGCTGAATAGGACAGAGGGAAAGAAGGTGTTTGTAAGTAAATCAGTGCAAAAGAGGATAAACAAAGCATATCTGCCTGAAGCTTAATTTTGCTCAGCGGTAAGTAATTAAAAATAGGATTTTAAAACAAATGTGGATTCACTCTGGAGTAGAATGAAGACAGCACGTGGATTTTTCAGGTAACTCAGTACACTTAAATATGGTCTTCCTGTCTGAAGTGCTGCTTCCAGCTATACTCCCTGGTCTCACTGGGTGAATTCACTTCTGTTGGAAGTTTGGGAAGCTCTGGAAATATATCTGGGAAGGCTTGTCCTGATGGTGTGACACCCAAGCCCCTGACTAGTTCCCTGACATTTCATAGGGGCTGTCTGAAGACAAAGCCCAACTAAGAGCAGTGACAAAAGTGATGGAGCAGGAGGGTGGAGGCTCTGCCCTCAGGTGGTATGGACAGAGAGGGCAGGGGTCTAGATCAAGGAGGGGAGGAGACGGGGGGTCCGGAATGGGGCTAGCAGACCCTGATGCTGAGAGTCCAGCCTAGAGGCCAAATAAGTCAGACGCATCCAGGTAGACCCTGGGGAGGGAAGGGTTGGAATACAGTAGGGCCCCTCCCTTTCCCCCACACCCCCACCTCCCCACAACCCTAAATGAGGCAACACTTTGGGGGTCCAGGCAAGTGAGTCGGGCAGATTGGGTCTCAGGGAACAGGTCAGGGACCTGGTTCCCAGAACTGGGGCACGAGGTGGGGATGCGGAGTTAGGAATGAGGCCAAAGCTCAGTTACCGGAACTGGGACACTTTCCATGTGGGACTTGTGTTCTTTATGTCCTTCCCGCATAAACCCTGGGCAATGGGCGGGTCCACATCTGGGACGTGGCAGGACCTGGCAGGTTTGGGAGTGGGCACAGGTGGGGTTGGTGAGGCTTTGGGGCACCGTGGCTGCACCTAGTCCATCTTTGCCTGCTTCCCTGACCTAGGCAGCCGCCTCCCTTCCTGCCCGGCACCCCCAAGGGTAGCACCACCCTTACAAGAAGAACCTCAGAGTAAACATCGTTTATTTTGAACATTCAAATTTACAAAAACAGAAAAGTAACAAAAACTATGACATATATCACACGCGCACACACACACACATACGCACATGTTGCATCTCACGTCACTTTATGTACAAAATTGGGCAAGGAGAAGGAAGGGGGTTTGCCAGTAGGGTGCACTAATTTCACAGTGTCCGAGAGCCTGAACATGCTCACTCACTCGTCAGCCTGGGCCCATGTGAGCCCCTTCCCCACCCAGCAGGGTCAGGGGGAGCGGGGAGGGGGGGTTGGGTGGCAGGCAGCTCAGACAAAGTGGGTAATGAGAATGACCTCTCTGGGAGGGAGCGAGGGTGCTGGGAAATGTAGGAGAGGAGGGACCCAGTTCTGAGGGGAGAGGCCACTGCATCTTGGAGAGCACTGGACACAGAGTCTGAGAGCTGGGTACAGGTCGCCCGGCTGGGTGGCCCTATGGGCTGACCACCCTCCATGGCCCCGGTATCCTCATCTGTAAATCGAGGGCTTCAGCGCCCCCCAAGAGCCCTTCCTGCCCAAATCTGTGGTTCTAGGTCATCACAGTTGTGGCAGAGTGATCTGTGCCCTTGGGATGCTGACTGGAGCACAGCATGCCACAGAGGTGGGAGGACCTGGCAGGTAAGAGCTGCGACGCACCTGGAGCAGGGTTTGGCCCAAAGCAGGAGTCTGAGAAACGTCAGTGTCCCTCCCTTGTCCCTCCTGGGGCTCCCTCTCCCCTCTCTGGGAACTCCAGCCGGTTAGAGGGGCTGAGGCGGTGAGCACAGGTAAAGGGACGCGGTCCCTGAGGGGCTGAGGCCCCTCCCGCTCCCTCACCCAAGGGGACCCTGGCCCTGGGGCTGGCCTGTCCTATGCCTCTGCTTCCCCACCTCAAACCCCATGAAGGTGGTGAATGGGGTCAGGCGCATCCCTTCAAGCCCAAATCCTCCAGGAGCAAAGATGCTCAAATCGCACTCCACAGAGAGTGAGGGGCAGGCTCAGGATATAACGTGTTGATTTGAACTCTGGGCTCTGTCACTTGCTGGCTGACAGACATTGGGCAGTTTACTTAACCTCTCTGTGCTGGTTTCCTCACTTTTATAATGGGACTAAGGATTATCCTAGCTTATAACTTTGTTGTGAGGATAAACGAGATGACTGATGCTCATAAGATGCCCAGCACAGTGCCTGACACTTAAAAAGGATGAAACACACACAGGCTCCAGCATATTATCAGCAGGAGCAGCTCCCCTTCTGCTCTCACTGGCTGTGCCCGGGAGCAGCCGAGGAAGGTCAAAGCTGGAGTCCAAATGGCAGGTATTCAGCAAACATACAAGGAAGATCAATGGATGGAGGAGGGGTGGGGACTTGGGGGTTTCATCTTCCTGGAATGGAAATGGCCCAGACTCCGAGCCTACACCCCAACATCTCTAGTTTGTGCCTGTTTCCTCTGGAGGGCTGTCCAGGGTGACTCAGCACAGGAACCAGGCTGGGAGGTCAGAGGTCTCATCATTACCATGACAAAGCATAAAGGACTTGGAGTGGTGCCTGGGTGGGCTCCAGTGATCAGACAGGTTCTGTCACCTCCCTCCTGAGACACTTTCTTTTCCTCAAGGCCTCCATAAAACCTGCTTCCTTCAAAACAATAGCAGAAACCCAATTAAGCCCAGTGTCCCCGAAATCTAAGTTCCGAATTCTGCCGTCACCCCAGCAACAGCCTATGTCATTATGAGACGCTTTGACCCAGCACTTGGGCTGATGTCATTGGCTGTTACCAGGGCAACCTTGATCTCAGCAGGTTCGGGCTGAAACACGCCATCACTCCTTCTAGGGAGAGTTGAGCCTGAGGTGCTGAATGGTCTATTTGTGCTCTCGAAATGGAGACAGAGATCTGGGAGCCAGAGGCAAGTCTTGGAGACACCCCACGGCATGGGGCCCACAGACTGCAGCTCTGAGCCATGTGCAGGGTGAAGGGGCCACAGTGGGTGGGGAGAGGGAGTAAAAAGGGAGGCAAAAGGCACCAGTACCCACTCGAGTCAGGTAGCCTCAGCTGCCTGGACACCTTGTAGGTGACTGGCGGGGGGATGGGGGATGCCCGCATTCTTAGTTCTCCATCCCTGCCAGAGGGACTGGGGCTCACACTTCTCCCCCAACCCCAGGGGGTCAGGGGATGCCAAGATGTTTGCATGTTTCATAAAGGAAGATGTTCCGGTGGTCATGCTGGAAAGCACTGTGACCTCTCAAATATCCATCCTCTTAGGTATAGGTTGGACTTAAGACCTTCATGACCAGACAGTAGGGTGGGTGGGGTGGTGGGGAAGTGGGAGGAAGCTGGGAGGAAGCTGGGGAAGAGCACTAAAGAGGAAGTCGGAAGCCCCGGGTTCTAGTCCAGACTCTGACTCATTATGCCATGTGACCCTGTGCAAGTCACTTGCCCTCTCTGAGCTCTTCCCCATCTGTGTAAGCAAGGGGTCGGACTGGGTGGCTTTTCTAGGCTCTGACATTCTTGCACTCTCTTGGGGAAGCTGGTGAGGACTCAAGAGTAGTGACCAGGAAGCTACCAGCCCTTTGAGACACCTTCAGACAGGCAAGGGTACCAGGATGAAGGGATCTAGAAGAGCTGATTTTTATAATCTGTGCATAAGGTTGATCTGCCTTGACCCTTGCCCTTGCCCCTTGCCCTCGCCCTTCACCTATGCCAAGACAGATCCCAACTGCTGTCCAGTCCCAGGACCCATGCCCCTTGGTCAACTGGCCGGTTCTCAGGCTTGCCCCACCCTATCCACTGGGGATCACAGACCATCTTAAGTTAGATCTGGAGAGCTCTCAGAAATGACCAAAACAAGAGCTTCCCCTCATAAATGGGGAAGGCCAGCCCAGAGAGGGCAGGGACTTACCGAAGGCCACAGAGCAGCTTAGAAGCAGGGCTGGCCAGGACCCGAGGGCTCCTCCTCCTCACCCAGTGCTCTGTACACTGCTCCACACTTCTCCCTGCCCTCTCAGTCTCTCCCTTCCTCAGAGGCTGCAGGGCCATGCACAGGGGATAGGTAATGTGCCTACCCTGGGCATGAAGGAGGAGAGGTGACCATGCCAGTGGGCACAGCTGTGGGTGGGCACAAGAGGTGACACAGCCCTTTAGCCTCCCAGGGTCTTGATTCCTAACCCTCTAAGCTGGAGCCGGGAAGGGACTGTCCTGGGAACTGAGGTGGGGTTGGGCCAGGCATGGAGCCAACATTCAAACCATTGTACACAAAGAAATGAGGAAAGAGGAGGGACAGAGAGGGTGTGGGCTGGGGGGGACAGCGTGGCGGCTGGGAGAGGCCCCAACAGGTTCCCACTGCCCTCCCCGGCAGCTGGTGGAAAGATGGAGGAGGGAGTCTGTGCCACCTCCATCTGTTACCCCCTCCCCAGCCCAGGGGCTGGCTCTACAGCCTGCTGCGGCCCGGAATGGGCAGGGGCCAGGCCTGCTACACGGCAGTGGGGCACAGGCACCACCCCTGCCACTGAGACAGTGGGCCTTTCCCCAAACACACAACTCCGTGGGAGATGCCATTGAGATTAGTAGAATCAGACATGGTTGGTGGGACAGGGCGGGGTTGGGAAGAGAGACGGCTCCAACGTAATGCCAGCAGGGTGGTCAAAGCTGTGGGTACTGCTACCTACCCGCCACCAGACCCTGGACTCACCCCAGGCTTGACCTGTTACTTGAGCTCCTTGTCCCCTTCCAAGTGCGGTCAGAGGACAATGTTCTGGAGGTGCGGGTATAGGTGGGGGGGGTTAGCCAGGAGTGGGGCAGGAAGGAGGCCAGCATGTGGGTCGGCTGAGGAGGGAATGTGGAGCCCCTCCCGATAAGGTCCCCAGGGTGGCAGGCAAGGGAGGGGCCCTGGAGGAGAGGCTCCTCACGCCTTGGTCTTCCCCTTACAGACATCAAAGGTAGCCTTTGTCGCACCCCCAAAGGCCTCCACCAGCTTGTCTTCCCAGGGAAGGACGTTGCCCAGCAGCGGCCCAGTGCAGTTGGCAATGCTCAGGACCTGGGCAGGTGTCAGAGCGTGGTCCCACAGGTTAAACTGGGCAATGTCGCCCACGAAGGCTTGGGTGGCATCGAACCGGCCACCCAGGGTATCCTGGGCCGAGAGCAGCAGAGAAAAGAGAGAGACAAGGAGTGAGGGAGCAGAACAGACAGGCAGGTAGATCCGGTCAGGCTGTCCCCCACGCCTGCTGGAGCCCCACCCCTGTGCAGGCCTCTGCTCTCACTGGCTCTCAGTTCACTCATCTGGAATGGCTGGATTGGACTGAGCGATCGCTGCTGCGCTTTCAGGGGCCCTCTGTCCACCCCTCCTCCTCAGGTGCTTGGGTGGGGGCAGTATTCACTTGGGCCGTGGGCCCTGTACACCTGTGCCTTACCTGCTCCTGGCCCAGGATGAGGATCCCATGAGGCTTGATGGGGTGCCAGGCGGCCAGGTTTTCGCCGGAGCCCCGCAGCGTCCCATCCTGGTAGGCAGACCACAGGCCGTCCCTTGTGGTCCAAGCGATGCAGATGTGGTGCCAGGCATGGTCCTTTAGGCTCAGAGGTAGCTGGGCCACCTGGACACAGGGTCCCCAACCCCAGGTCAGAGCACCTCGAAGCCCACAGCTGGGACAGTGAGGTGGGGGACAGAGAGACCCACGTCCTTCCCTCCAGGAGCGGATCAAGGCTTGGTCCTGCCCTTCCTCCCAGCCCAGTGCCTTTCTGACCACCCTCTCCTCTTTCCCTACAGCCTGACCAGGCAGTTTCATTCAGATCACAGGACCATTCAGGGCTTGTTTACAGTAGCTTCCAAGTAGTTTATTCACTCTCTAACAGGCCTTTAAGGTCACGTGGGGTAGGAGCTGTTTCTCACAGTCCCTGAAGACCTCACATAGTGCCCGGCATACGACTGAGTTCAAGAAGTACTGGCAGTGGCGGAACAAGCCTAGGGCTCAGTGGCGAGGCCCTGGCTCTGGTTCTGCCAACTGTCCATGGGGCACTGGGGAGGCTGCTTTTTCCTCCCTGGGCTCCAGTTTCTTCATCTGTAAAGTGAGGAGGTCAGGCAAGGGATGGCAAGTACACAGCCACTTCTGCTTTCTCCATCCAAGGCAGACATGGCTAATCAATCACGAGCCTGGACTCAGCCTCAGAATCTTTCTCCTCACACTGCTCTGGGAAGCCACTGCTGATTGATTAGAGTTAGCCTGTGAGATGAAAGGTACTTGCTGTCTGTGGATTTGGGACTCTCAAAGGGCTCTTTCATCTCCTAAATTTTCTGAGATCACAATTTAATGCAACATTCTCTGAAGCCTACTTGGCGCCAGGCCTTGTTTAGGACACTGGGGATACACACCTAGTCTTGCCTTAAATTAGCTGAGTCTGCACAGGAGAGGAAGATTTTAAGGACAATATTACAAGACAAAATAACATGGGCCGTTTGGGAGGTACAGAGGCTGTGAAGGCCCAGAGAAAGAGGGGCTGTGGGGACAGTGGACGTGGTACCTAAATACATCTGGAAGGACAGTGGACTCTGACCATTTCATTGAAAGTCAAACTGAGCGGGGACACAGGAGGTGTCAAGGCTCAGTGACTGGAATGAAAGGGGACCTGAGCGTACCCTGTGAGGATGACCCTCAAAAGGACTCCTGCGGTAACTCGGTATATGGCTGCTCTTTGCCCTGTCCAGGGTGCTGAAGCCTTTCCACGCAGAACTGAGTGCTGACCACGGGCAAGGCCAAAGATGGCCGCCAGAGGATGAATGAGCGGGACAGGTAACAGGATCTAGATGTAGTCCGGCTACCCAGGACTTCGTAGGACCTTTTGTGCTACAGGAGAAACTCACTGCTTCCGGGACCTATCTCCTTTCTCCTCCTCTAGGACACCCATGAAAGACACCTCCTGCTGAGCTGGGTTTTGATGAGTGTCAACACTCCTAGCAGTTTTATGGGTCTGTGGGCTGGTCACAAATGGGTGCAAAATGTGGTGTCTGCATTTCCAGGGGGGGGGTCTCAAAAGACCATCATCCTGCAAGTCCCAAAGCAATATGGAAGGCAGGGGAGGACATCTGGCGAGGAATGAGGGTGGTAAGATGCTCCTCTTCCTCCCTGCTCAGTCGCCCGGTCCCAGCACATCACTCCCCTGTGGTCCTTGTCCCGCCCTGTAGCTAGGCCCAGCTTGGCACACAACAGGAGGCCAGGGCATGGGGAAGATGGCCCAAGGGCAGAACAGTGGAGCAGTTAAGAGATGGCTTCTGGAGCCCAAGGCCCTGAGTCATATCATCACCCTTCACCAGCTTCTGAGCCTCAGCGTCTCCGTTTGCAAAATGGTGATAATAAGGGTGCCTACCTCCCAGTGCTATTGGGATGGCCAAGGATTGTAATATGAGTAAAATGCACATTAACACAGGTTTTGGAATAATAAAGATGGGTCACATTTACTGAGGCTTATGAAATGCTATTTGCTTAAAGCACTTTACATGTGTTTAAGGTGCTTATTTCTCACCACAACCCTACAAGGTAGAGACTATTATCATTCCTGCTTTACAGATGAAGGAACTGAGGCACGGGGAGGGTAAGTGACCATCTATGGTTCTGCAGTGGGTAAGTGGCAGAATTAGGATTCAGATCCAGCATTCAGGCCCACAGCCTGACATAGTGCCATTCCATTCTCCACTGGGCGGGGAGGGGCAAAGGGGCGGGCTGCAGGGGAGAAGGTGGGGAGTCCACCAGCACTTCTCCCCAGCAAGATCCTTGGACCTTACTCGCCTTCCTCTTTGTCCGGGAGAATGAGCAGGGCCCTTCCAGCCCCACTCCTACAGCTGGGTCACTGGGGAAGTCACTTAATCTCTTCGAACCCCACATGCCTACTCTGTAAATGGGGACACCACCACTTACAGCCTCTCTTGGGCACAGCCCCTCTTCAGCCCCAGGTCTGGCTGGTCTTTGTATTCCCAGAAGCCAGCTTGGCACACAGCAGGCATTTCATGTGTGCTGAGTACGCTGAGCAGGAGAACAGAGAGGGTGCACGTGTCTGGGGCCCAGCACAGCGCTGGGGCTCCTGGAAGGGCAACCGTGGCCCTGTCCCCACGTCCTTCCCACTCTGCCCGGCCCTGCCTACCTTGTCATTGATCAGCAGCTCCATGGGGTCGTGGCCTGCCTCCAGTAGCACCATCTCATTGGCCTGCCCAGGCACAGAGTAGGAGAAGGGGGTGCCCTGGCCAGTGCTGCCCGACCGGGACCGCAGCCACAAGCAGACAGTGAAGGCGTAGAGCTCGGGCAGCGCCTTCCGTACGCGGGCATACATGTAGTTGTTGCGGATGGGGATGCTGATCTTGAAGGCATCTGGGGGGCTGTAGGCCGAGGACCCTGTGGCGGTGGGTAAGGCAGACACAGTGGGAGTCAGCGGACACTGACGAGGCGGGCGGGTAGCACATGCGCCAGAATGAGGGCAGAACAGCCGATATGTGCCGGGTGCCTTCTCGGCTTCCTCGCTCTGCGCTGGTGAGGGGCGTGGTCAAAGCGCAAGGGCGCCTCTGCCGACTCGCAGCATGTGACCTTCAACAAGTTCGACTTGACCTCCCTGGGCCTCAGTTTCCTCCGTAAAATGGGGTGATATTATTTCCTCCCCACTAGGGTTGTGTGAGGGTTGAGATGAGCTATGTAAATGCCAGGGCCATGTAAAATGCTCAACAAATGTTAGCTATCACTATTACCATTTTTTAGAGTTCTTTGTCTATCAACAAGCACTCTACAGTGCTTTCCACATGGCAGGCGTGTTTGTTCTAAGTGCTTTTACATACATTATCTCATTCATCCTTATAACAACCCTATGAGGCAGACACTTATAATCCTTGTTTTACAAATGGGGAAACCTTGGCACAGAGAGATTAAGTATTTTTCTCAAGGCTACACAGCTAGTAAGCGGCAGAGCTAGGATTTGAGTAAGCCAATCTTGGGATTCCTCAACAACAAGGTGTCTTTTAGCTCAGAGTTTTGGGGATTCTATGTCTTGAATATCAGAGGGCTTTCTGCAGGGGATAGACTGGGGAGTCAACACCTCCAAGGGGAGGGGATAACACCCTGCCACTCCCCTCCAGGGTAGGAGTTCCCCTTCCCCAGCTGGATGCTGAGGGCTGGGGGAAATGGGCTGGGGCTGGGAACGGTGCATATAGGGTTCCCAGGGCTGGCCTGGGCTCTGAGCGAAGGTTGATGTGATGCATCCTGGTAAGAGGAAGGGCTCAGTGACTGTCTCTTTAAACCCATTTCATAGATGAGTAGGTTGAGTTCTGAGAAGGGACACAACTTGCCCACAGGCAGACAGATATCCAGCCTAGTGTCCTCCCTCCTCTCTGTCCGGCAGCCTCTTGGGGGCCATTTCCTGCAGTCCCTTCAGATCCTTATCGCAGTGTAAAGGGACCGGTGGTAGGACTGAGTAGGGATGAGTTTCTCTTTCTTGTCCTTGTGCTCCAGACAGGATGTGATGTTGGCCCTGGAACCCACCAGGCCATGCCTCCCATTAGCTGTGCCCCTGCTACGGCTTCTCTACTCCAAAATCTACCTCTGCTTTCAAGGATTAGCTTGAGGTCTACCTCCTCCAGGAAGCCTCCTGGATTTCTTTTCCTTGGAACTCCTGTTTCTGCACCTAAGCTAGTCCAAGCTAACTGCTCATGGTTTCCCCTGGTATCTTCAACTTGTTTATAAACCTCTTCAGAGTGGTCCTCATAGGTTTCACAGATAAAGGTCCCTGAGAGCTCATGAGCCTTAAATCCCTGCTTTTCAGATCAGGAAAATGAGGCCTGGGGAAAGGAAGTGAACTTCCAAAGTCATGAAGCAAGACAGCTGTGGAACCAGGATCCAGGTCTCCTGATACTCATACCTGGATCCTGTCCATTATGTCATGTGTCTCTGACCCCTGGCAGTGCCAGGCTGAGGTGTAAAACAAATGACAATATTCTGATTCCTTGAAGGTGCCTGTGGGGTGAATAAATGCATAGAATTTGGAGTCAGAACTGGTTTGAGGTAGAGATCCACTCCTTACTGGTTGTATGACCTTGGGAAAGTCATTTGACTTCTCCGAGCCTCAGTCTCCTCATCTATGAGGAAGATAACAGTACCAACCCCGTACAGTTTGTGAAGATTAAACCAGCTGATGTTTCAAGAACTTAGCCCAGTCCAAGAACATATGGCGAGAAGATGTTATTAATAATAACAATAATGATATCCCCTAATGATTCTCTCCCTCATGTGTTTCGCAACCTCCTCCTGACCATCCATCTAACTTCAGCTTCTGGAGAGCATGAAAATGTTTTTCAAGCAAACCTGCCTCCCTGAGGACCCGTCTGAGGACCAAGGTCTGGCCCGCTGTGCCCTCTTGAGGATCTGGGACCCACCATGCTCCAGTTCAGCTATGCGGTCCTGCAAGGCGTCCAGCTCCTTCTCCACCTCCTGCCGCTGCTGGTAGCTGCTGTGACTGAGGGCCACACGCTCCTTCTCCAGTGCCAGCACCTTGGCCAGCAGCTGCCCCTCCAGCTCGTCCATCTTGGAATGCAGGGTGGTGGGCACCGCAGGAGCAGGGGCCGGGGCAGCTGAGAAGTTCACACGGGCTGGGAGCTCCTGCTGCTCACAGGGAAGAGGAAGGGGCCTGTGAGGTCACTTGGTGGGAGGAAGGAAGGAGACTCAGGGCCCAGAAAAGCCCACCACCCAGGCCAAGTGACCCTAGGTGAGCCTCAGGTTCCCATATGCAAAATGGGGATCGCAATACCAGTTCCAGGCAACGAACGTGTACTGGGAGTCTGGCAGGTTCTGTCCAGGGCTGGTGTGTAATGTTTTGGCTGGTACTCTTAGTGTTCCCATTTCACAGCTGGAGAAACTGAGGCAGAAAGCCTTTTGAGTTTTCTACAGTGAGGGGCTGGGCAGAGCTGACACCTCTGGAGCTCTCCAGCAAAGCATCCTCCTCCCTGAGAGAGAGAGAGACCTGCCAGAAAGGAACAGGACTTCGAGTGCTATTTACACAGACGCTGTGGTGAGGAGAAACCAGGAAAAACGCGCAGGCTGAGGGGGGCGGGCGCCCAAGCTGTTCTTTTGTGAGAGCCACCAGCCCCACTGCCAAAAGGAAGGCCCCGGGGGAGGTGGGCTCACCGGATTGCGTGGGCCCCTCCCCAGCCCAGGTCTGAATCAGAAGAACAAGACACCCCCATTCCCCATCTGCTGCAGGCACAGGCTGGGCTGTGTGGGCTCCCGGCCTGAGGCCAAGTGGGCCCCTAGCCCGAGCTGGTAGGGAGAAAATGATGCCAGCACCCACACTCAGGTCCTGATGAGGCAGGAAATGGGGCTAAGAACCCACGGCCCATGGTGCTGTGCGTGCAGGGCGGGGTTTGGTATAAGTGTGTGGGGGCTGGAGTCACAGCCCGGGTTCTTGGCCCAGCTTGGTGCTAATGTGCTGGGCTCATTAGCACTCACTGAGGAGGATGCTAACAGCGGCAGCTGTCATTGTCACGCACTGAGTGCCAGGTCCTGCGCCCAGGAAGCACTGCACAAACATTTCACGACCCTTCTCAACAACCTGGGGAAGTAAGAAGGCCCACTATACACATGAGGGGACTGAGGCTTAGGTGAAGGCACCTGCCTGAGGTCACACAGCTGCGAGTCACAGAGCCAGGACCCCAGCCCAAGCCCTGTTGATTCCAGAACCTGTCCCGTTCTTTGGTCCTACCCTGACAGTGTGGGTCTCAGTTTGCTGCTCTGCCAAGTGGGCACACTGCTGGCTGTACTGCTGGCCTCGAAGGCCATCAGAAGAGGTTCTAGTGGCCAAGCAAAGGCTAGAGGGGCTGGCAGGCAGGCTCTCAGACCAAGGCGTGGGGCAGCTCACAGAGGAGGAGGCCTCTGAGGTGGGAAGGCTGCAGGGGAGACCCAACCACCTCAATCCCTGGTGGGGCAGCTCCTTTCCTGTGGTGGGTAGAGAGAGGGAAGTCCTTTGGTGGACTTCAGGGTCAGGGTCCCATCCTCTGTGCCCATGCACGCACACACACAGGCAGTGCAGGGCCCCGCTCCAGGGGCAGCGGGGGAGAATGGAAAGAGAACAGGCTTGGCGGTTGTGGTGGGGGTTGGGTCCCCCCACATCCCCCCTTCTGAACATCCCCCAAGTCCTATGTGAATCTGCTGGGGCTCATAGCCTGGCTCCACGAGCCCAGTGACCTCATAGAAAGCTGTTGTGCCTCAGTTTCCCCATCAGCAAAGAGGGTACAATAATGTCTCATAGCCCTGTAGTGAAAATTAAATGAGTCACAGATAGAATGCCTTAGAGTTGGCACCCGAAGTGCTATGTAAGTGTCAGTTATTAGTAACGCTACTCAAATAGCTCTTGAAGGGGCCCACCTTTCTCCACCCCCAGCCATACATCTTTTTGTTGAATCATTATCTTGAGAAAACAAGCAAGTCACAGAAGAATAGTTAGATACCATTTACAGCAAGTGGCGAAGAATCAAAATTGGCTCGTGTATTTGTAAAAGCAAGAAGAAATGCGAGGGGAGAGAAACACAAAGCAGGACAGTGGTGGCCCTCTCCTGGGGGTGTGTGGCTGGGGCTGGAGTGTGGAGGCTCTGAGGGGCATCAGCTCGTTGCAGATGTTCTGGTTTTGAGCCTGAGTGGGGGCCTGGGTGGTATTCTTTATCCCCCTGTGTCTGTCTGAGATACTTCACAAAGATTTTCTTTAAAAAACAGGAAAAATCCAAAAGCAGAGTCTCTGGGGGTAGAATCTGACCCCTAATCTTAACTGCAGCCTGCCTCTTTGCCACCCCCACCCCACCAACGCAGTCCAGGCCACCATTACCTGGGCCCCTACTCTGGCCCTTCTCCACAGCAGCCAGGACAGACACCTGACCGCAAATTCAACCGCGCTGCTTATAACCTTCACTAACCCCGTCCTCCCACAGACGAGTCCCTGCCCCTCGGATCCCTCCTCCACGGCTACACTTCATTCCCTCTGGAAGCCCCCATTTGCCCCCGACTCCCTGTTACCCTAGGGCCTCTGCATGTGCTGTTCCTTCTGCCAAGATCACTCCTCCTGCCCACCCCACCTCCTCTGGCCGACGTCTGCTCCCCTTCCAGGTGGAAGCCTTCCTGATGCCTGAGCTAAGATGCTCCGAGAGAGGGAGAGGGCTTCCCTGGGGGCGCGCACAGCACCCATTCACTGTTCACTCACCCACGCATCCAGCCGTCCACACGTGCTGTGTGTGGCACCGTGATGTCCCAGGTACAGGCGTGAGACACATTATTTCCAGGCTCCCCACTCTTTAGATTTTTGACCCCGGGGAAGCTGCTCAGCTCCTCTGACCCTCAGTTTCCTCAACTGTAAAATGGGGATAATAGTATCCACTTTGGAATCTAATGACAAAATGGTAGAATATATGTAAAATCTGGCAGATAGCAAGTGGCTGATCAGTGATCATAACTGATCCTGTTATTTGCTATTGCAGAGAGGCAGGAGAGCATGGTGGGTAGTAACAGCTCCAGCCCTGGAGCCAGGTCATGTAGGTGGGCATCCCAGCCGAGTGAGCTGGGCCAGGTTCTTACCCTCTCTGAGCCTGTTTCCTCACCTGCGAGACAGGGATAGTAAGAGTCTCCTGTTTGTTGTGAGACTAAATCAAATTGTAAGGCCCTTAAAACAGGCTGGCACAGAGGGCACACAGCCCTGCTGCCTCTTACTAAGTGTCAGGCTGCAGAGGAGATTGAGGCCCGTGCCCGCCCCCTGCGTTGCTCTCAGCTGGTGGCGAGGCAGGCGGAGACAGCATGAGTCCTGGCAAGGAGCCATGGGCTCTGAGGCGGCAGAGGGTGGGGCGAGTCAGGGAGGGCCTCTCAGGGGGTCTTTTCTGCTCCCCGCCTTCCTCTCCAGAAGCCGGTCCAGCAGGCTGTTCTGTCTCCATCTAACCCTGATGTGAAGGAGCAGGAAAGGAGCAGCCAGGGCCAGATCCACCTTCTGTCTTGGCCCCCCAGTGCCCATGTGCAGCTGTAATGAAGACCAATGGACCTCAGTGCAGCAGAGGGGAGGGTGAGGAGGAAGGGAGAAGGGTGTGTTCCATCCGCCCTCCTGGGCCCTGGAGCCCAGTGTAAGTGACAGGACATCCCCCGCCCCAGGCCCCCTCACCTCTCCAAGTACTCCCCGCCAAGTTGCTCTGTTGAGGAGACCACAGAATTCCCTCTCACACCCTGCCTACCCACACACCTTCTGGGCCCTGACCAAAAATCCGCAACAAAGATGACCCCACCCTCAGCCCATTTTAATAGAAAAATTTGGCTCAGCTTCTGCTGTGCTGTGTGGCCTTGGAAGAGTTAATAAGTCTCTCTGAGCCTCAGCTTCCCCTGGAGTCAAATGAGGGGTGTGTGGGGACACATAACTGCCTATTCTTTGGGTTGGTGGCCTTAATCCCCTCAGGGACATGCGCCTGGGGAAGTCCCTTCACATTCTCACTCGGCAAGCAGGGCCAACCCCTGACCTCATTCCACTTTCCACAGGCAAGGACTTCTCAAAATGGCCAATAAACATAAGAAAAGGTGCTTAAGATCATTAGTCATCAGAGAAATACAAATTTAAACCACAATGGGTCCACCACATGCCTGCAAGAATGGGGAGTTTATTTTTAAATGACCGTCTGGGGTTGGCCAGCTTCACACACAGGTGGGCATGTGAACACCTACTGCCACTTTGGAAGAATGGGTCGGCAATACCTCCTAACACTAAATATACCCTCTCCCAGGACCCAGGCCTCCCACTCTGAGGGATACATCTGGGAGAAATGAGGGCCCGTAGCGTACAAAAGATAGCACAGGAATACTCATAGCAGCTGCATTTGTAATAACCCCATACCAGAAACAACCCAAATGGCCCACTTTTGCGGAACGGGTAAATACGTGAAGGCACATACACACATGAAAACACTACACAGCACTGAAAAATAAACCGCCAACACATGCACAGTGATCGACTGTCAGACTGTTGAACAGAAACACCAGACAGAAAGGGGAACAGCTATCTGAATCCATTTGAATGAAATTCAGACACAGACAAAACTGATCTATGGTGACAGAAGCCAGCATACTTGTACCTCTGGGGAACTACTTTGGGAAACCAGTGAACTTTGGCAGGGTCACAGAGGAGCCTTCTGGGGCACTGGGAATGTTCTCATTCTTGATCTGGGTGGTGGTTTCATGGGTGTTTCCGTACATACATTTTCACTGAGCTGTACACTTAAGATTTGTGTCTTTTATAAAATATGCGAGCTCTTATGTATATTGAGCGTAAGATACACTTAAAAAAAAAGGCCCCACAGGTCCTTCCCTGTTACCCAGGCAGCTCCTGCAAGGCTTGGAACAGGTAAAAATGTCCCCTCTCTGGGGGGAAGGCCTGCCAATGCATAAGAGGCCTCAAGGGCACAGGATGATGGGGTCTCCTGGGTGTCCTGTCCCTCTTCCCTTTTGACAGACGGGGAAACCGAGGATCAGAGAGAAGGAATGTTCTGAGGTTGCAGTGAGCAGATGGCTGAGCTGGGGATTAACAAGGATTCTCACTAGAGCAAAGGGGCTACTCTGGTGGAAGCAGGGGTTAGGAGCTTCCCACTGTGGGGATGGGGGACCAGCCACAGGGAGTGGAGCCATCAGGTTCCACAGGTGGCTGAGGGCACTGAGGTTTCACATCCTCAAAAACGTCAGTGGCCAAAAGCTCTCTCACCACATTTTGCGGGCCCCCAAAGAGGCAGTCAGGGGAATCAGAAGGTTCCAGAATGGGCAGCAATGTAAGAGACAAGTAAAAGCAACCAAGAAACTTTAGAAAAGGCACCAATAGATGCTCTAAGCCACTGTATTTATCTGCAGAAGTCTCTGAGAAACTGAAGAGCAGGGGCTACACCCCAGCGACACACAATTCCTGATCAGGAAGCATCAGCTCAAGAACTCAAATATTTAGAGCTCAAAGGGCCTGGACCAAATCTAGCCCCTCCTTCCAACCATTTTTGCCTATAAGGAAACTGAGGCCCAGAGAGGGAAGTGATTAACCTAAAGTTACAAGCAAGAAGAAGTCAATTTTATGTCACCCAGCCTTCCTGTTTCAGAGTATTTAGAGATGAAAGGTCTTTAGGGAGCATCTGGCCCACTGTATCATTTTATAGAGGGGAACCAACACTGGGGCAGTGTGCCAGGGGGCTGTGGTTTGCCTGGCTGGTTCCTCCAGACGCTGTGCCTCTATTTCCTTATCTGCAGGATGGAATGGGTACAGCCTACGTCATAGGGCCAAGGATTGAAAAAGCTAATACATGTGTAGTAAGTGCCTAACGACACTTATTATTTATTGTTATCAGCAAAGCTTCCGCGTGAGCCTCGGGATTGTCTTGCCAGCCACCAGGACAAGCCCCTGAGGACTGTCCCTCCTCACCTTCTCTCTGGGTGAGACACATCCAGCAGGGGGCACTGTTCTCACATGCCTTTCTCACTCTCCTGAAGGTAGGTGACAGCCATGCCTCCAGAGGGATATAGAGTTGATGAAGAATAAGGACTGGAGCCAGATGCTCCACTGCTGTGTGACTGGGGCCAGTTTCTTAACCTCTCTGACCCTTGGTTTCTTCATCTGTTAAAGGAGGATAGAACAGTACTATACCTTCCTCAAAACAGTTTTATGAGGATTAAATCAGATTGACGCACAGTGCCCAGCACATGGTAAGTGCTCGTTAGATGTGAGCTACAGCCGTGACTAAGTCCAGGTTCTCTGTGGCCATCATCAGGGTGTTCCTTACCATGGCTCCCACACCAAGATGGGAGGAGATGACCAGCTTGCCAGGAGGGGTTAAGGATGTGGTTTATGTTAAAGAATTGCTCTTAAATCAATCTTGAAGTTTCATTTTATACATGTAATCAATTAATGCAAAAATGGAACAGTGGAACATGCATACATGGCTAGTTGCCACATAAATAGTCCAACCTTTTTGGAAAGTGGTTCTTGGCCACAGTCATAAAAAGTCAATATCCTCTGACCCAGAAATACTACTCCTGGGAATTTAGCCTAAAGAAATAATTCAACAAACTTAAAAACCAACCAAACAAACAACTAGCTGCATGAAACAGATCCTGCAATGAGCATCTAGAAGAAAAATAATTAGAAACAAACTATATCTCTAGCAACAGGCAATGGTCAAGGGCCTGACCCCAGGATACTATGGCCATCAGCGATGCTGGCAACTCTGGAGCAATGTCTACATTTGGAGAAAGGACCAAAAGGGGGCTTCAAAAATGGATAAAATGGTGGGATTAAGTGAGATTTTTCCCCCAAAATGCCTTTTTGCTTTTTTTCAATTAACAGCAATTACAATAAAAACAAAAATGAAAATACTGGAAAGAAAACTTCCAGAAAAGAATTTCTCCTAACCCTCAAATGTGCTCCCCGTTTGAGGTGTGGGGGAAGGGCTGGGCCAGAGTGAACTTTCCTCTCCTTTGGTGGTTGACTGGCAGGGTGAGGGAGAGGGTGATGCAGACATGTGCCAGGTGGAGAGGGGCAGGGATGTGCTGAGGATTATAGGAGCACAGATACGGGTAGGAAGGGGACAGAGTGTGATCAGGGAGGCCTCTGGGAGGAGGTGTCCTCAAAGCAGACTGTCCAGTGATAAGTATGGATATGCTAGGGGTAATCTAGGCAGAGGCAAGAAGGAACTGGAAGATGGGCCAGATCCGAAAAGGCACCACAGGGGGACCCCAGGATGAGCTTAAGAAGATCCCTGGGGCTGCCTGGAGGAGGATGAGTGTGGGGGCAGTTATGCTTGGGGATAGGAGACCAGCGAGGAGGCTGCTGCAAACATCCACAGATCGATGAGGTCAACTGGAAAAGCGGGGAAAAGTAGCCACTCATGGCTTCTCAGAGCACACGTGAGAAGCAGGTTGGCAGAGGACCTGAGTTCACATTTGAACACACTGAAGTTGGGAGGCTGGTGGACGATCCAGAGGGAAGTGCTCAGGGAGCCACTGGATCTACGGTCTGGAGCTTTGGGAGAGAAACTTGGGCTGGAGGCAAAGCTGGTTTGGGGCACCATAGGAATGGGTATTGGACCCCTCAGGGTGTGGCTGAGTTCACCCAGATAAAGTGATCGGAGAGCTAAAAGGGGCACAGATGTTAAAGCAGGACTCTGAAAGGGGACAGAGAAACAGGGAGGGGGGAGGGGCAGGTGAGAGGTGTCTAGAAGCCAAGGGCATGGAGATACGTGGCATCCTTTTGAGGATATTGGAAGAGAAGAGAAGGGGAGAAACTTGACAGTGGCCGAAGAGTGAATGGGGTCCACTGAGACCAGTAGTTAGACCCCATATCTGCTGGCTCCGGGCCCCAGCCCCTCCCAAAGACTCCAAAAAGACTGGCTCTGGCTGCTACCAGACAAACCCTGCCTTTCTCTTTCCATGTCAACTGCACTCAGAAGGCAGGAGGGGTGTGTGTAGGGAAGCCAGGGCTCCCCCAGCCTGGGAGGCTGACCTGGTGCCAAATCCTGCCACCAGGATCCCCCAACCTCATCAGGCTAACTGGAGGGGAGCCCATCATGCCAAGTGGAGAGGTGCTGGGGGCACAGGCCCAGGGCAAGCCCCGCCCTGCCGGCCCTTGGTGTGGGAGGAGCATGAGTACCATGTGTGTGCAGGGGCAGGCAGGGGCTAGGGTAGGCAAGAGCATGTTTATTGAAAACCAATTTTTTTTATGTTAATAAAATCTATTTCCTAAAAGGAAGGTTTGTTTCCATTTTTATTTTTGGCTATTTAAAAAATAAGCAATATTATAGTTTAATGATAAAAATAGCAATCACTCAGATTGATTGAATGTATCTTTGCCAGACACTGTTTTTGAGTCCTTCACAAAGATGAACTCCCTCAATCACCCTAACACCCCAACAAGCTAGGTCCTTTTATTATTCCCATTTTACAGGTAAGGAAACTGAGACTTCCCTTTACTGCTAATTTCCAGCATCTCCCAAATATTTATGTTCTTGGCTCATCCTAGAAATCCTCCTGTGAAAAGGGGTGCTGGCCGGGCAGAGGCTCCTGCCTCTGAAACGCAGCTGGGAGGTCCCTGAGCCCTGGGTTTCTCACCCGTAAGGTGAGAGGGTTGGCTGTGATAGCTGCCTGGCTGCACTCCAATACCCTGCAGGGCGGGTGCTGACACCAGCACAGACACGTTGGAGGGTCACTGGGCCATGGGCATGGCCAGCCTTCCCCGTGAGCATCGCTCATGCTGCCTGGCTAGAGATATAACTGAAAAAGCCAAGGGAGGGGGAAGTCCCTACCTCTCCCCCTTCTAGCCTCTCCCCGCTCTGCCTTTGCCATCTGCACTCAGTTTCGGGGGAGGTAATGAAAGGGCCACCTGGAGTTTTGGCATTTTTTCTCCCCTCTCCTACAGATCCACTTTTGTTGCTAACCCCCTTCCCTACAATCTGGAAATTGCGGTTGGCTGAGGGTGGCCAGTGTCTCCTGAATGCCTGTCCTGCCTCGTCTGTCCTGCTCCCCCTCCAGAGGACCAGAGAGGTTCTCACAGGGAGGTGGGGATTTGGACACTTCAAAAGAGAACTGACTGGTCCGGGATCACATGACAGCTAGGAGCTGACTTCCCCTGTCTGACCCCTTTAGTCTGATCCCGAACCTGAGCCAGGGAAGTCTGAGAAAGGTGAGTGGAAGCGGAGGAACCCGGGTGGCGTCTATTCCCCACTCAGCCCCCACCCCAGAGCTGCGGTGTCTGGGCCGGCAGCACTCTGAGCTCCTGCTGTAGCGTCTGTGGTCCCAGCTCGGGTGGGAGACGGAGGTGGGCACCCGGGTTTGGCTTATGGGACACTGTGATCTCCGCTCTGCGGCAGGAGAGGAGGGCCCTGAGTCCCGTGGACAGCACGTCCTATCTCGTGAACATGGGGAGTGAGTGTAGGGCTGGTGCTGTTTTGGGGTGTCTGGAAGAAGGAAATTAAACGGACATTTAATGAGGTCCTGATACGGGCCAAGCATTTTTCGCATACCTACATTTTAATCAATCCTCACAAGTGGACGCTGTCATACCCACTTTATAGACGCGGGAACCGAGGCTTACAGAGGTGTCCAGAGGAAAAGGGTGGCCCCTGCGCCTCAGTTACAGTGTCTGATTTTAGCCTGCGCGCGCTAGCGCTACCAGGATCCCCCCTTCTCTCCCGCCAGGAAGGGCCGATCACCCCTTTATGCAGTTACACAGACGGGAGCCCCAGGGCTCGGAGAACCGCGGGGGCCTCTCCGGGGCCCCGCAACCCGGCGGCCGACCCGGGACTCCGTCGAGCGGCCTCTCCAACGCCCCGTTTGTCCCCGACGGCGCTCGGCCGGCGCGGGGCTCACCTCGATGCGGTCGATGCGGTCCCGGAGGGTGCGCACCGCGTCCTCCAGCTCCAGGATGAGCGCGGGCGAGTCCCCAGGCCCGTCGGCCATGGCGTCGCGGCGGGGCCCGGCGTCCTGGAGGCCGCGCGGCAGGCCGCTCTCGCAGCGGCCCAGCTTGCCGGTGAGCTCGCGGATGGTGTCCTGGTCGGCGCGGATGCGCGCCTCCTGCTGCAGCGCCGTCTGGCGCAGCTGCTCGGCCGTGCTCTGCAGCAGCAGCAGCTCGTCGCGCTCGCTGGGCGCCGCGTCCCCCTGCTCGGCCCCCGACGGGCAGGCGGCCGCCAGCGGCGTGCACAGGAAGCGGCTGAAGAGTGGCACCGGCGGCAGCGGGTGCGCGCTGGCCGCCGGCGCCCCAGGCAGCGCGGGGGGCCCGGCCGAGCTGCCCGCGCGGTGCAGGGCGCTCAGGCTGCGCTGCGGGCCCGGGGACGCGGCGGCGCCCGAGGCGGCCGAGGCGTTGTCGGCGCCGCCGGGCAGCGCCCGCGCCGGGCTGGCCGCCAGGGGCACGCTGGCGATGATGCAGATGACGGCACCGAGGAACGCCAGCATGCCCGCGGCCAGCAGCACGGCCAGGAACTTCAGCGTGAGGCGGGCGGCGGGGCGCCCGAGGCCCCCGGCAGGCGAGGCGGCGGGGTCGGGGCGCGGGGCCCGGGCGCGCGGGGCCGAGCGGGGCCAGGGAGCGGGCGGGAGGAGCCGAGCCGCAGCCGGAGGTGTTGCCGCGGCCGCTGCTGCCGCCGCTCTGAGCCCGAGCGGCGTGAGGAGGAGAAGGCGGCGGGCGGCGGGCGGCGGAGGGAGGGGGGCGGGCGCGGCGGCCCCGCCCCGCCGGCTCCCCCGGGCCGGCCCTGGCCCAGCCCCGCACCCGTTCCGTGCCGGGCGCGGAGGTGGGGGCACCGCCCGGGATGCTGCGAAGGGCGCGGGGCGGCGCCAAGAGCTTGGTCCCGCTGCTGTCTCGGCGCAGAGGGCGGCGACCTGGTGGCCGCGTGGCGGGACACCTAGGCGGCCCCCCTCCGCCTTTCCTGTGCTCTGGCCCTCTTCCCGAGCCGTAAAGCCGGCAACTACCTGGCGGGGGGCAGCCTCTATGTTCAGGGAGCTACAAGCTCGGTTGCAATTAAGCCTCGCCGTGGACACGCTCGAAATCCAAGCGAGGAAACTGAGGCCCACTGAGGTCGGGTCACTGTTCCAAGATCGAGCTAGTTATATGCGTTGGAGCGCCATTCAAGCTCGGGCACATCTGAGTGGTCCTGGGGCCGGCGTGGAGAGAGGAAGAAAAGAGGCAGGTGTTGGGAGCGGGAGATTTTGACCGCTTTAGACTATGGCCACCTCACTGTTACTTCCTGCCCCCAACCTCCTGAAGGAGCAGAGTTGACTCCCCTTTACCCCCATTAAAAAAAAAAATCTTCCTGTGATCTCAAAAGGTAGCAGAGTGCCCTCCTCTGAATCCTTGGGGGCACAGAACATCAAGGATCCCAGAAAAGACCCTTCTCCCAGTGCAGCGCACAACAGGGTGGCAATGCCATGATGGGCATATGGACCAGGCACCGGAAGGAAGAGCAGGCATGGGAGTGGGCTGTGGTGTGGGGGTGGTGGAGGAGCCTTATTCTTTCTCCTGTCAAAAATGTCTATATATATTTTGTTGCATATTAACTTTGCAATTAAAAACTTTAAAAAAAATATACCATCCTTCACAATCCAGGCCCAGGTCCAATTTTCCACAAAGCATGCCCTGACCAGTGTGGTTTGCCAGGTCTGGAAGGGTGCTCAGAAGGCTGTGGATGTTCATGCTGCAGCCTGGGTTAGAGGAGAGGGGCTTCGGCTCATGGAAGTCACTGGCTAAGGTCACACACAGGCCTGTCTCCCTTCTAAGCCTGCATTCTTGAGGTGAAGAGAAGGCTCAAACTGGAGCTCTGGCCCACCATGGCTACGATGTGGTCTCTGCCAAGGGCTGCTGGTGGGAAGAGACCAGAACAACAGCCCTGTAGTCCCTGGGCACATGCTCCACAATCCCACCCCATCCCCAGCCCCAGATTGATGGCTGCCCTGCTCACCCATCTCTGGGAGTCAAGGATTACCTGCTGTAAAGGAGGGAGAACAAATGCAAGCTCTGTACGTGATGAACTCCCAGAGCAGTGTATGTGTGGATGTGTTAGTATTCGTTGGAGCAGAGACCTGGAAAACCAACCAGCCAGCTCAGCTTGGAGGAAGCATCTCCCAGTCAGAGAGGTGGGCCAGGCCCCCTGAAGGCAAAGGCAGGCAGTAGGGGGCCCACGAAGTCCTGAAGGTACTGGAGCCCCAGGGACTCCTGGAGCACCTGCATGTGTTCTGTGAAGACAGAAACACACACACATGACATCCGAGGAAAATCTGTCATAGAAAATCTAGGGAAGGACAGAGGATGCTGGGGGAGTCCTCTTGGGCTGCTGCCAAGAGTAGCAGGGCCACTGTGGCTTGGGTACCAAATGGTGCCCCCTTGATGTGAGCTGTCCCATGAGAGTTGTAAACAATTGGATAACTGGTCCACGGCTGGAGTTTAATCTTGTTTTAACTAATCTAGAATGACTCTTTAAACCTGTGATGTGAACATGTCAGTCTCCTGCTCATAGATCCATCAGCGGCTCCTCATTCCTTATGGAATAAAGCCCAAGCTCTTTAAGAGGCAGTATTGCCTACTGGTCAAGGGCATGGATTCAGGAGCCAGAGGCCCTGTTCAATCCCTGCCTCTACTTGTTACCAGTTGTGTGACCTAAATTACAAGGAAAGTAAACTCTCCAGCCTTGACATTCTCTTTGTGCCTCAGTTTCCCAGTCTGTAAAATGGGGGATAATAGTACATGGAAAGTCCCAATAATGTTGGGTCTTATTCTGTTGGCTTCTCTGGGTCTGTAAGACCTGGTAATCCAGACACTGCTCACTCTTTCAGCCTCACCTCCTACCCCTCATTGCCTGGAGCAATGTCAAACTGTGCCTAACTCCCCGACACACCAGAATACTGCCTCTCTCTGCTTTTGTTCATGCTGTCCTCTGCCTGGGATGCCCCCCCATCCTTCGTTCTTGATTTGTCTCTATCTCCAGCATCCAGAATGGGGTCCCACACAGGCTAGATTCTTGGTTAATGTTCATGGAACTAATTTCCGCACAGGCAGCACTGGCGGCTGCTAGAGGCTGACAGCAGTCCTGAAACCCACCTCTGTAGAGACCCCCCCTTTAATCCTAACAGAATTCCTCAAGAGATGGACAGAGAAGGATTCTCAGGGGAATTCTATAAGACTGCAACAGTCTCCACACTTTCCTTCTAAAGTGTCATATCTCTGAAGCTTTTTATTTCTTCACTTTCATTCCATTCTCAAGTTAAGGGAATTCAGCCTGAAAGGGACAAATATAGTCATTCATTCAAAATATGTTTTGAGATCGACCTTGTGCCAGGCATTATGCCAGGCACTGTGGAGAACTGGAAACAAGATAAACTCACAGTTTATATTCTATTGGGGAGTTTATATTTTCTTCACTGTAAACAAATGAGTAACTAAATAAGCAAGTTAATTTATAATAGTAATGCAAAATACAAAGAATATTTAAAAAGTAATATAATAGAAAGTTATAGGAGGTGTGTGTGTGAGAAGGGAGTTGGGAGAAAAGGTCGTCAGAAAAGCCCGTAATTGAGTTGAGATCTGAATGACTTGAGAAACCATCCATGAAGAAATCTGGGGAAAGACTGAGTGTTCTAGGTGGAGGGAGAGCTAGTGCAAAAGCCCTGAGGTAGAAGTAAGCTTGGTGTGTTCCAGCAACAGAGAGAAGGCCAGTGGGTTGGAGCCGAGGGAACTCTGGGAGAGCGAGGAAGCTGAAGAGGAAGCAGGGCGACCTTATGTAGGGCTTTACAGGCTGCAGGAAGGGAATGGGCTTGATTCTAACGCATTTGAAGGCTTTAAGCAGGTGAAGTGACATCACATGGTTTGTGTTTGTAGAAGATTTTTCTGGTAGTTGTGCGGAGACTGGGTTGTGTAGCTATAGGAGAGGAAGCAGAGAGACAAACTAGGGGCCGTGCAGCCATCCAGGTGAGAGGAATGGGGGCTTGGAGGTTGTGATAATGGAGAGAGTTGGGTGGATTGATTTTAGAGGTAGAACTTGTGAGTTGGGTCTTCCAGGAAGCAGACACTGAGAAAGAGTTAGATGTGCAAGTGGCTGATTGGAGGCTATGGCTTGTGAAAGATAAAAGGGGAGGAGAAAGAGAGGCAGGGAGGGCTGCAGACATTAATGCAGACCTCACAAAGTCTTGGCCAAGCTCTGGGGCCAAGACTGCCCACTGGGGAAGTTTGGTATTGGGCAGAAATGCCCAGGCCCTGGTCCCTTTTTCATGCTTGGTCATTAGTTGGGAGCTGCCCCAGAAGAGGGTGGTTTCAGCCCAAAAGGTGGGGTGATAGCCACACAAAACCCTGCACATGGATGTTTACAGCAGCTTTATTCATAATTGCTAAAACTTTGGACTCCCAAGCAGCCAAGAGGTCCTTCAGTAGGGGAATGGATAAACTGGAATATCCATATAATATAGAATATTATTTAGTGCTAAAAAGAAATGAGCTATCAATCCTTGAAAAGACTTGGAGGAACCTTAAATGCTTATTACTAATTGAGAAAAGCCAATCTGAAAAGCCTGCCTTCTGTATGAGTCCAAACATATGACATCTGGCAAAGGCAAAACTATGGAGGCAGTAAAAAAATCAGTGGTTGTCAGGGATTCTGGGGAAGGGGAGGATGAACAGGTGGAGCACAAAGGGCTTTTAGGGCCTTTTTATAGTATCACTTCTCTGTGATACTATAATGGTGGCTGCATGTCATTATACGTTTACCCAAACCCACAGAATGTACAACACCACGAGTGAACCCCAGTGTAAACTATAGATTCTGGGTGATAATGATGTGTCAATGTAGGGTCACTGATGATAACAAATGTACCCCTGTGGTCTGGGATTTTGATAGTGGGGGTGGCTATGCATGTGTTGGGAAGGAGGAATATGGGAAAGTGTGCTTTCTGCTCAATGCAGTGAGCCTAACATTGCTCTTAAAAACTAACAAAAACTGGGATGGATCCCGAAGTCACTGCAGCTGGAGGATGTCGACTGACTGCACCGTGTGCAACGGAGTGACAAGTTCATTCTAGAAGAGAGAACTCAGCAGTACCCCACCATGGCTGCCATTGTACACCCCCTGCAATTCAAAGACCCACTTCTCCAAGGACCCCCTGGGCCTCTCTTCCTGAGGGCACATTTAGGAGCGGGGGTTGGTAGGACGAACTACCAAAGCCCCGGTCATTCACTTAGTCTCAGGACCCCTAGAGAGGCGTTCACTGTCTCCCTCCTCCACTACCCCTTCTGAATTCCCCTCTGTTATTACCTCCCCCGAAAGGCAGGAAGACTATTCTTCCCTTCCCCTAGCCTAGTGAAGTCCACACACAACATATCTGCTCAATAAGTGTTTATTGAACTGAGATAGATTTTTTAAAGTCGGGGGTCGGAGGGAGGAAGTAGAATTGGGCAGGGAAATCCTTCAGACTCTAATAAATTAGTCACTCTAAAGGCATGGGAGAATGGCTGCTAGTTAGGAACTAGTAGTTTCTGCCACAAGCACATGCATGAAAGTCAGACCTTGAACTTGGGACTTAGAATGACCGACTCATCCCAGTTCAGCACTGCAAGTCCTGTGTCCCAGGAAACCTCTGTCCTGGGCAGATAGGGCCAGATGGTCACCTGAACTGTCTCTGAATCACAGTGTCAGTTTCGGTACGTAACAGATGTCCAATGGCACACACGTCTTCCCGCCTTCCTCAGCCCCCAGGTTTCCCTCCACTGCAGCATCTCCCACAGCATCTTTCCTGCGAGACCGTGAGCGCCTTTGGTTAGGGACCAGCTCGTCATCTTCGTCTCTGCGTCTCCAGCCAGCATTTGTGAATGCTCAGGCTTCTAGAGAATGGGGACAACTCCTTTGGGGTGTGCTTTCTTTCTCCAGGGGGTGGGGAAGGGGGTGCTAGGGATAGAGAGTTACTCGTGTCCATCCTGGGCATCTCCATGCCGAGGGTCCAGTCTCCACCCAGGGATGGACTGTCCCAGGACCAGAGCCACCTCAGTGTCCTCATCTAGGAGTGGGCCCAACGTACCTACCTCACAGAATTGTAATGAGAGTTGGATGAGACCAGGCGAGTCATAAGATAGCCCAGGGACTCATGGGACAGGGGCCATTTCTTACCATGCTGTTTGGTATTCCCAGCACAAAGCACAGTGCCTGGCACTTAGCAGATGCCCAAGATGTGCTACCCACTTCCTTATTTATTCCCAGCGTGTCTTAGGTGTTCAGTAGATGTTAATTTCCTTTTTCCTTTTTTACCTTTTATTCTCCAGGTGCTTCCAGTGCCTTCTTCCTTAGTTGCTCTGCCCTTTTCTGGTTCCCTTCCCATTTCCTTTCTGAGCTGGGGAATCATTCAATGGCTAAAGCTTCCATATGTGTTCAGTCACCACCTCCCAGCCTGGGGCCTCCTAAGGGGAAGCAGGGCTCAGGTAGGGCCCAGAAATGTCTGCATATTAACAGTGGGTGCTGGGATTAGAAGCAGGACACAGGAGAGGCCGAAGCCAGGGAAGAGGGAGCTTCCCTCTCTGGGGAAACCCAGAATTTCCATCCAGCTCTTCTGCTTCCCTGGAAGCAACAAAAGGAGCCAGCCCACCTCTCAGGCTTCAGCAGGAAGCGAGGACATCTGTTCCCAGCTCGGGAGGGGCTAAGAACCGAGGAAGAAACGGGTGTCCTCCATGCAGGGGGTCCTGGGAATTGGCTGGAACATGTGTGCCTGAGGCCAGGCCCAGCCAAGCACCGCCAGAAGGAGTGGCTGCCCAGTTAGGCTACATCCTTCTTCTGCCGCCGTAAGGGCTGGGGCCAGCACGCCTCCTGCCTCGCGGCCATCCCAAGCCCCCAGTGGCAGTCTGTCCCTCCTCTCCATGCTTTTTACTCTGCCAGATTCTCACCTGTGGCAACCCTGGAGCTCCATATTATAATCATTCCTATTTCATGATAAGAAAATTGAAACTCAGGTTCAGTAATTTGCCGGATGGTCAGTGGGTGTACACGTGGGATTCGATCTCGGAAGTTTTCAGACTCCACTGTGCACGTCCTTGCTCTCTCAGAGTCGCTCAGACCCTCCCCAGGAGGAAGCAGCCCAGCACACCAAGTACGTTTCCCTCACAAGCCCAAGAACTTCTTAATGTCTGGCAGCGCGCCTGCCTCATATCTGGGTCACTGGCACCCAGTGTGTATTCAGGGTGTATTTGCTTCATGCATG